AAGAGCTGTAATGGCATATGTGCATCCCACAGTGAAGCCCCCTCCTGCTACTGCTGGAACATCCTGTGTTCCTGGGAGCAATCTAGACAGTAAAACTTTTGGTGCCATTCCTCCTTGGTTTTGAAAACTTGAGGAATAATGGGAAGGAGGTCAGCACCTGGGTCTGCACTGCGGTTCCAGTGAAATTCATTGGGAAGATCATTACTTACCCAGACTTCTAGTTTTCATTTCCTTCACCATAAACAGTCGCATTAATCACCCCAGCAGCATGGATTATAGTTCCTTCTTCTCCCCTTCCTCAACCCCCTGTTGAATAATCCATCTTTTGCCTTACTATTGGCAATGGATTTTGGAATTTGGGGAGAAAAGGATATACCAGATGTCAGGGCAGTACCACCAGCAGCTAAGGGCTGCTGATGTGCTTCCAATAAAATTGATATCATTTCCTTAAAATAATAAAGGTCTTTGTGAAAAATTCCTGGGGAAAATACTCGCCAGAGTTCAGCACCAGCGCAAACAAGACTTGCCATGCAATGGTAAAATACAAGGAATGGCCTTGAGTTTCAGAAGTTCTTGTTCTCAACATGAGATTTTTCTGCATTAGGCACAAACTTCATCTGCAGTGTGGAAATGGAAAGAGAAGTTTGCTCTCAGGAGGTGAGGAGCATATGATGCAGCAGTGTGGTAACATGAGCTAATTTAATTTTGCTTAGAAACCTCTGGACTGAGAATAGAGCATGTATTACTGCAGCTGTAGCCCATTATTTCTAATGACTCTAATTATTTCTTACGGTATCCATCTGACCAGCTATAAGATTTCACATTGAGCATAAAATTAGCCAATGTTACCACTGTGCCTGCTTACATCTCATACAATTGGTAAATTATGCTAGCAAGTAAATGTAGAGCTCCATCAATTTGCTGGTAATGAACCAGTATCTCAGGTTGAAATTTGCTTTCAGTTTTAAGCCTCTTGTTCCAATGAAATCAATGGGATCACCCATTCCCAGTGACTTGTACTTCTGACTCCATTATTTGTGTTACCTTACATAAATCTATTTATAGAATAAAACAATAATTTACTACTCACTAATTGGAAGGTAATTAGCTTTTACTGAAGAGCAAAGAAACTGTGCTTAATTTCCATTTCCAGAATGCTTTTAAACTTTTTTTTAACTGCCTTACATGTGCTCAGAGCGGAGCAGACAGTTTGGGAGGAGGAACAAGGACTGGGACTCATCTGGTCAAAACCTTAGCTGAAGTTCAGCCAAATTCTTGCAATCTTACAACGAGCAAAAGGCTCTGTTATGAGCAATCCCCATCTGCCCTACATTTCTTTCCTACTGTAAGGAACTGCTATTTCAGGAGAACAAAATGAGCTAAGATATGGCAATGGCAATGACACAGAGCTTAAGGTAAAAACAGGAAAAAAGCAAAAAAAAAGAAAAAAAAAAAAAAAAAGCCCAAATAATAAAAAAAAAGAGACCTGGCCTTGGAATGAGAGTTTAAAATAAAAACAGTCAAACCAAATCTTTCTCTCTCATTCCTAATCAAGATACCAAAATTTTGAGTAAATCTGTTGTCACGTATGGCACAGCACAAAAGCAGCAAGCACTCCGAAAGCTTACAGAAGATATCATCACTAATAATAAGATATGTATCCCCGTTATTTATTCCCCAGCATTGACATAAACCTTGTTTGCAATTACATTTTAATGAAGCACTCCAATTACTGTTTGAACGAGGACATCTGATTACAGTCTCAATCAACATAAATAAATCTTCCTTATGAAAGGTTTCCAGGATATTTTCTACAGCAACATTAATTACAGAAGTAAACAAGGATATATGATTATCACAGCACCCAATTGTAAATCCTGGCTATAGCTGTAAATATTCCTTAGTTTGACAGCCTGCATCATGATACAGATTCCAGAGTCTATGCTGCCAATCTGTTAAATGACAATTTCAATGCAGCCATACTCTGAAATGGATTTTTATAGCCACATCTAATTCCTAATAAGATCTAGATTCTTTGAGCTATCACCCACAAACTATGGTTAATTCCTAAGGAAAATCCAATTAAATCTGTCAGAGACCTGACAGGATCAGAGGTCTAGTGATGCTTTATTGGAAATTACAGTTTTCTAATTGAGCCAGAGGTAATTCTGGTTCAAATGGCAAGGAGGGTAACAACTTCACTTCTCTGTATTTGGACAACAGAGATGCTAAAGAGATTTTGTACAGAGCTGAGTGAAGAGAGAAAAAGAATGGGTAAAATAATGTGAATTACCCTTATGTATAAATTATGGATGAAAATTAGTATTTCCTTAGATTATGATGCTAGATGAACAGTCCTGCTTGGGATCTGCAGGTGCTGCATTCCCTGATGAATGAATGTGTGTGGGGAACAATCCTCCCCTTTTGCCAACCTACATCTATCAGTTCTGACCATTTCCCTCTGCTGTAACAAGAGCAGTTTGAAACCATTATAAGACAGTTCAAAGCCAGCATTAGGAAGATGCTTAGCTAATGTTGAAAGATTCAAATGAGTCCAGATAAATGAGATAAATGAGAAACTGGAGGAGTCTGAAGGTGTGGCTCACAGGAGCCCACTGCTGTATATTCAGAGCACTGAAAGCAATAAAACCAGAAAAACGTGGAGAAGTCAAAATACAGTTGTGAATTCTTTGTGAATATTTATCAGGCTAATGCATGGGAATTGCTGAAGGGGATGAAGGAGCTGTAGTTACGTCAGTTACCCTGTTTTTTTCTCTTTTTTTAAGTAATCTCTAGAATGGTATACAGAAAGAAAAACGTAGCATTTAGAGGACAAAAAGAGAGATCAAATGGAAAAAAATCAAATTACTCTAGAGAGAAAGATGTAGTGTGTAATACTATTGAGATCTGGTTTCATCATGAACTGGAGAAGTGGTGAAGGGTAGAGACTGTCAAAGAACAAAAGTACGAGATTAATGTTTTACGAAGTAGAGGTATGGCTGAGAAAATTAAAATCATCTGGATAATTAAAAAATGCTGTTGCTTATAAATGAAGGAAATTATCATAGAAATTGGGAGACAGTCAAAAACGATGTGTGGTAAATACAGAAGCAGTTTAAGATGATGATGATGAGGTTCTTTTTTAAGGGCCAGGGAAGGGACTGAGGGATGCAAAATGAATTGTGCCTATTTTAGTGATGACGGCAGCGATGCTCTCCTCACCCGGTGGGCTGTGAGCAGATTGGTCTCGCTCCGAATCCCCACTGTGCCTGACAGACATGAGCAGAGAGCTGTCTGCAGGATTCCCTCCGTCCTGCCGTGCTCAATCTTTCAGCCTTAATTGATGAGCTCTGACATCCAGAGATGTTACGGGGCCAAGTGGTGGGAAACTGCCGCAAAACCAGGACAACGGCAGAATCACAGAATCAAAGAGGTTGGAAAAGACCACTGAGATCAACAAGTCCAACCTCAACCCACCCCCACATCTCCACAGTTCTGGAACACCTCCAGGAATTTCATTTAACCACTTTTTCAGAGAAGAAATTCTTCCAAAAGAAGGAATGGCCAGGGCCGCATCCAAAGCAGCACAGTCCCATGGGTGCTGATGCCAGAGGCACAGTGCCAGTTTCTCAAGGGAGAGGAGTTACCAGTTGGGAGCACAGGAGTGATTAATAAAATCACAGCAGTTGTAGGTGGGATTGAGGAGATTGAGCCAGACTACAGCTCTATTTATTAATATAATTAATGCCAGGAATCAACCATAGGAGATACCATGAGATTAAAAAAAAGCAGAGAATGTGCTTTGGTTAGAGGAAAGGCAAGGGATGAATGTCTTTTCTTCTGGAACGATAAAAGAGGGATAGTAAATGACATTACCACTGGTAGTTCCTTCACGGAGGCTTGTTAACTGCATTGTGTTAACTGTACGCAGTTTCTCTGTGCTCCCAGCAGGAGCAAGGGACAGTCTCAGGAGCTAGATGTGCCCCAGCTACCATGTAAAGCACCATCTTCTGTGTGTTGGCTATACCTTATTTTACTGCAGTAAGTTACATAAGAAAACAAATTGAAACAAAACAAATTCCTCCTCCTGTTGGGTGCATTAATGAGAACACTCATTTCACACATGGAGAAAAATAATTACTTTTTATGTTACTGTAATTGCCTAAACCAGAAATGCATTTTCCAGAAACAAAGGTTGGGCTGGTGTAAGTTTCTAATTACAGGTTGAAAGCTTCTAATTAAATGGCATTAATTGGAAGAAACCTTTTCAGCTAGAATTACAGAAGAGGCTGGTAAGATCGGGTATTATCTTGATGCACTGTTACCAAGCCAGGAGTGAAATAAAGAAATAGAAACAGCATGGTAGCTCCTCAAGCCACTGGCATAGCTTGCTGCCTAGTAGCAGCGTGTGCAGAGGCAAACTAGCCTCAGACCTCCCATCTGTAGCAGTGAGGTGAGCAACACAGTGTCAACCCCGTCCTAACACCCTACAGGGTTACAGTAAGTTGGCCTGGTCAATGTGAACGGGCACAAGCATTGCAATAGCTTTTGGAGCACATCACAGAATTTATGTTGGCTTCTGGATGATTGCAGGAAGACAAATGCCACCAGAGCTGGTGTAAAATTAGAAAATCCAACGGAAAGATGGGACTTGTGTCAGATAAAACTCGCTAGGTTGACGCATTAAGTATTTATTAACCTAACATACACAGTGCTCCACTTCAGGGTGACTTTCACATGCAGTGAAGGCAGCAAAATATCACAAAGAATCAATCTGGACCAACTCCCCACTACTTTACTTTGAATGCTTGCTCTTTTGTCCAACTTCAGAAGACTGAAGAAGCAATTGTTTGTTTTTTAATCTCATTTTTTTTTTTTTCCCAGGGTGTTGCATAATCCCCCTGGAGCAGACCTGCATGTGGTCACTGGCAGAGAAATCACTTTCTCATGATAATCCAAAGTACGTAGATGATACTGGCAGGGGTGCAGTGCTATGCAAATACTGCAGTCATTATCATCAGTGGTTTGCAAGAATTCCTCTACATCAGAACTGCTTTATGAAAGGTGGCTGCAGACTTCCATTAAAAATTATTTTTTAAGTCTCTCTGTCATGGGATTTCTACTTGCCTCTTGGTCAGACATAATGGAAAGTGTCAGACAGATTAAAATCTCACGTGGACAGTGAACAGGCTCAGATTACTGCAGTGCTTTCTGCAGTGATTTACTTTTTCACTGCCTTGATGATTTATTCTGTTCCTTATAAGAAGATTGGACTTCATAGTAACTTACAATGAAGAAATATGGAGATACCAAAAGTAGGAAGGATTTGAAACAGTAGAATACCTGCTGGAAAAAAGGTAAGTCTGTATGCATCACATACTTGGTGGTGGTATCCCTTGAAAGCATGTAGTGAATACTGTAAGTGGATTTGAAGAGCTTATTTAGCATGACAAATTGGCTACAACCTGGTGGCTATTTCTGAAAATGCATTCATAGACCTTCCGACACTGATACTCCTATGGTATATCCATTCACTGTACAGTCAATTTATAATGATTCCACCAAATTAAATCTTTATTAACAATCTTATTGACTCTGGCTTTGACTTTCAGTCCCCCCTTTAATTAACTGCAGTAATGAGACAAGCAATATCCAATGTAACAAGTGACCAAACATTTTGTTTTAAACCTGCATTTTATTCCAAGCAACTTGACAAAAAATGAAGGCTGAATTGCTATTTGCTAAATGTCAATTTTCACACTCTGCCGAACCCTTTCTGAAGCTTGTCAACCACAAATCTGTAGTCATTTTCCCCCCTCTGATCAGAGCCATATAGAGCACGTAGCAGGTTTTTTGTTTTTATGCAGAAGTACCATTTGCTGTCCTCTGTATACTTCATAAAATGGCAAACAGGCATAATTGTACATCTAAAGGGATGATATGCCAAAGTTGTAGCCTCTTTTACAATTTACACCAGGAATACAGTTTTATGTCTGGGTGCATAAGGTCTCAGCAATGACCCAAAACTCCTCATATTACTTCACAGGAATAGTGAACCATCCAGCTTTCTAGTGCGCTGGGCTTCTGCTCAAAAGCTAGGGAGCTATTTCACCCTTCGTGAGTCCCAGCAGATGGTTCATTCTCAGGCTTGCTCCTTGATTAGAGGTGCTCCTCATATCTGCAGCAGAAATTCCATGCCTTGCTGTCTGACAGACACAAAGCAGCCCCACAGTCACGAGCATCCACACCCTTCCCTCTACAGGCAACCATGACCATGCATAGACACAGGACTCGGCTCTATTGAAAAGAAATAACTATTTCTGGCTTAATGCTATTGCAAACCAGTTCACCCAACTTCTCACATGCTGTTATTTGATAAAGTTAGGGAAGCAAAGTGACAGAATAAACTGTCTAGGTCAGGATACTGAGTAATGTGGATTAATGGGTATGAGGGGGATGGCAAAACAGTTGGACTTGATGATCTTTGTGGTCTTTTCTAACCTTAAATCTATCATGTATACCACCACTGAAAAGGACAATAACCTAAAAGTTAGTTGCTTATTCCTGTATCAAAACTAGCTAATCTGACAGCTGTCTTTGAGAAAAACAGAATTTTTCATGAGTACCCACTGATCTGTGATTGCTCTTCACATTATAGCACTGATTCACAACCTGTTTTGATAATTTGGAAATTTTTCCTCTGTACAATCTATAACATCCAACAGAGAATACAAATACATGAAAAATGAACACACTTTCTCAGGAGGAGTGCCAAGAAAAAGTCAAGATTTCTGAGGACAGAGAATGAGAGCAGGGACCAGCACTTGGTGGGGCCAGTTTCTGAGCTGCTACTGGAGTTAGCAGGGCAGTGGGAGGGACAGGATTTTTGAAATAGTTTTTCCTCCCAGTTCTTTGAAAATCTTCAAGTCATTTGAGATTTACAGCTCATTTCTTGTTTTCAAAGAAAAATAGGTTGGGAAATGGTGCAGAGAAGAAAACAAAGAGATTGTGGAGGTGGGTGGAGAGGAGAATGAACTACAGATAGAAAGAGATCAGGCAATTAAAAAAGCCAACTTGCTGTAAAAGAGAGTACAGAGATGTTCCAAAGGGACTACTTTAATTCTGAGAATAGGATGTTTTGCAAATTCTAAGGGTCAATTTATCTTCAGCTAAAAATGAAACTGATTTCTGTTTATCTTTTGCATATAATCACTCCTGAATATAACACGCATTTCAAGGTACAGTCTGGCAATTTTTCAAGAGATATGCAGGACAGTGTCTTTCTTAACTGGGAGACAGGTTGAACCTAATGGCAGCAATTCAGTTGCTGACTAGATGATCTTAGCAGTCTTCCATCATTAGTGATTCTATGATTTCCAATGAGAAACAACACCCCTGCCCTTCTCCATCTGTAACACGTGGACACTGGGAAATACAAAGCAATGCTGCTTTGGGTGCACATCTCAAGAAACAGCAATCCTCGCTCTTGACTCTTCCTCTGCCAGCATCCATGCTGTAAATTACTGATCCTTGCTGCAGAACAGAGCTCAAAGAAATCAGTCTTCTTGCTTCTTGGCTCAACACAGCAAAAAGAGAAAGCGTTCAACATTTCTTGAATTCCATGAAGCTCCTTCAATCCTTTCTTGGGCAAGTCCACATTTTCACACTCATAACCTCTCTTGTATGACTTTTTTTTTTTCTTTCAAGTAACAGAGAGAATCACAGATGCTAACAGAGCAGGTCAAGCAGAGATTAAATGAAACTGATTAATAAAAATGAACTCAGCACCCCTCAGTGTCATAATCTCTTCCTAGAAGAAGTTTTTAGCAGGGAATTTCATTTCCTTCTATTTTGTTTCTGAAAAAGAGAGGCAGGTAGGAGGACTGGCTTTGTGGTTGAAGCACTGGAGTTCAATTTCTATTCCTGTGATGAACTGCCTTTGCGACCCTAGGCGAGCACATTCAGAGCTCCCTGGGGTTACTGCAGTATAAGAGCAGTGGGGATGGCTCAGCACAGCCCAGGAGTAACTCACCCTCCTCCCCAAAACAGCAAAGTTGTACAGGCAACTCCTTGCCGCTGATTTCTCCTAGTGCCCAAGACAACTCATTTGAAAACATTCTCAAGAAAACTGCCAATTCCACTGCAGAGCACGGCCCTAAGCCACTACCTCCACCAGGAGCTTCACCAGATGGTCTCAGTGGTGGGAATGGCCCCAGGTACAGAGACATAACCTGACTGACTTCCTAAGAACTGCCTTTAAAAGAAGTCAATAGAGTTTCCTTGGAAACATAACAAGGGAAAGGCAATTGGATTCCAAACCTTAAAAACAACTTGAATTCTTTTGTCTGGCCCAAAAATACCCAGAATAAATGTGCAAAAGAAAAAATAAATCATGGTCATTTAACCACTGTCAAAAACAACAATCAAAGCTGTAAGGTGCAGGGTTTTGTTTTCTTCTCTCCAGAATTCTTTGTTTCTTCTCAATTGCCTGCACTCTCATGGTACCTCTCAGCAGTCAAATTAACACTATATATTGATTGCATGCTTGGTAGGCAGCAGGAGAGAAAACAAACCAGGCAAGAACTTAATATCTGTTTGAGTTCCTTGAGCACATGTGGAATATGGACAGCCTTTCATGGTGGCCACCACTCTGCAAAAGCTTTTCTAGTGAAATTACCACTGTTGCTTCCATGGGTGTCAGTAAGCAAACGCTGCCAGGAAGAAGATAGGGTGCTTATATCCTTCCATGCAGAAGATATGATAGATGTCTTCTACCACCTGGGAGCGTCACTCCGACAATTTTCCAAATGTTACTTGCTTCCCATAGACAAAGAAATTTCACCTGCTGAAGTTAGCACAAACTGCATCCCTCACACTGGAACACGCATGATTCAACCTTCCATTCAACACCCCTATATATCAGCAGGCAGTATCATTAATTCCTGCTCCAGAATACTGAATCCAGTCCTCATGTGACAGCCCCAAAGAAATGAGGACTTCTGAGTCCCCTCCATACACCATAGGGAGAAGCCAACCTCCCAAACCAAATCAGTTCCACAGCCCACTTGCTACCATTAGCCAGGGTAACTGCTGGGATAGAATACTGAAATGAGTCAACTACCTGTTTGGACACTAAATATCAAGGCTGCAGAACAGAGCTCAAAGAAATCTGATACAGATATAGAGAGAAACACAGATACTGAACTGCTGAGTCAAGGAAGGAACTGGTCAGAAAATAGCAGGGAGGGTGATAACTGAGATTTTCTATCTTGTGTTTCAAGAAGGAATGCGTGACATCTGCAGTTATTCACATACTATAGTATGGGCAGTCTGAGGGGCAGCGCTGACTGGGGCCCATCACAGGTTGGGGAATTGCTATGGGTTGGTGCCAACTTCACATATTTGGAGAGCTTCCCAAAAATGACAGACAAGTGAAATGTTTCCTCTGCTCAGTTTTAGTGTCAACTCTGGCAGAAATTCCCATTGCTGACTGCCTGTGGAGGGTCACAAATTCCTTTACATAATAAGCCTTTCACAAAGATATTTGAAATATTTAAAATAATTGGGCCATTAGATAAGAGTGAAGATTTACAAATATGTTTACACACCTGCTGGCTGGTATTTAAAACTGATGTAGCATCTTCCTTCACTCAATGCACATGAACTGCACATAATTATATCTTCACATAGTATTTGCTACTCAACTTTCTGGCCAAAGTGATTTTCATTCTGATGTAATTTACATATGTTCTGATTTTCAGTTGATCCTGTGTGGAGCCTGGAATTGGACTCAATGATCCTTATGTGTTCCTTCCAACTCAAGATGTTCTATACCACATCAGTGGTCAAGGGGAAGGAACCTACATAACCCCCAGACTCAATCAGCTCCAGCAATGGGGCACCAAGGCTCCATCACACAATTCTTTCAATACAAGGGAGAAGGAAACAGTTTTTTTTCCTACAAAACTTGGCCACTGCTAAAGAATTACCCTGCTATCCCTCAGATATTAAGCTCATCACAGTCCTTCCCTCCTTGCACTCCCACAGTTCTCACTTTTTTCCTGTTTATTATTGTAGAGTAAGCCACCAGGTATAACAACATTTACTGTCAGCCTAAATACAAGCATTGGAAATTTTCAGTTTACCAGTAAGAGAAGTACCCAGTACCAGAGATGCATCCCTGGGGACCCTGCAGGGTCTGGCAGCATGCAGTTCCCCATCGGGTTTGCAGAAGAAAAACTTGGGGCAGGTTTCATCCAGTGCTAGAGATACTGACTACTCTCAGTATGTTCCCATAGATGACAGTACATGGAATATCTATCTCCTATAAAGGATATCCTTTTATAAGGCAATCACATCCTAACAGTCATGCTGCTTTAACTGTACTGCTCTACTTAGAGTTATAATGTGGGGAGAACTTAAAAAGACATAACTGGACAGGCCTGTTTTAATTGTTCCCACCAGACCTGTGCTCCATGACCTCAGACATCTACAGAGCCATAAATAGGAGCTTTGATTGCTGTTCCCATAGTGACTGACAGGAAGAATACACTGGAGGCTGGACTGGAACTGCTTCAAGCAGGCAAGCAGCTACTGGAAATTATTAAGTTCAGAAGCTCGGGGGACACTAATGTCAATGCAGGCCAGTCAACCTGGAAGATAAACACTGCTGGGCACTATGGAAAAGACTGTTATATTTGCGTTCTGCTAAGAAAGTGGAGTTAGCTGCACTACAGGCATTTGGCTTGGCAAATGAGCCCCCTTCTGAGGGGAATTTACTGGTCCTTTCTACTGCTGGAGATGACAAGGCTACTGGTTGTGACTGCTGTGCTGCGCACATTTACTGCCGAGGAACAGCCACCAGCCTTCCAGCTCAGCTGCACTACTGAGGCATTCTGTACCCAGTGCTGCCAAAGGCTTTGTGTGGAAATGGCACACTTCTGGCATACTGCTCTGAAAGGGTGAAGCCCTGGTGGATGCACTCAGAAACGCAGTTTGTCCTGCAGCTCTGACACCCAGCTCTTGCTCTCACTGTGATTTGTGCCATGAATACAGAAATAGAATTCTAAAAGCTCTACACTCTCGTATTTCAATATTTAAAAAATGGTATTTTCTGCAAAAAAAGGCACAGACGCATACAGAGTATGTATAAAAGAAGTTCAGGAATATTTATATTAGCTGAGCACACAGCAGGAAAAGTATAGTGGTTCTAATGGCAAAGCTGCCAATATATCTCCAAGTGCTGTGCTCACTGCCTGTCCACAGACTGCTGGGCTCTGAGCTATATGCAGCTGCATCAGCTCGCTGGCCATTGGGGGCTGGTACATCACTGAAGGAGGGAATTTCCATCTGGCCAAATCCGGCATTGCCCATAGATCACTCCAAGTTATAAGCCTATAAAGCCAAACAGCCTCAGCATCTCCATTAATGTATTAAGATTTGACACTGGAAATATGGTTCACTTCTGGAGTTGTTCTAGCATGCAAGATAAAGCTACAGTTATTCAGCTAGATAGTGATGCTGAACCTATTTTGTCTATACACCTTGTATACTACCCGAATTCTCCAGTTTATATACTTTAAGCTCTTCAGAAACCACTACTGCTGAAACTTTAATGTCAAAATAAACCAGATAAGCCCATAAAGAATAAGTACAAGGTATCACTTCTCACTTTCTACTCCTCTTTGTGACTTATGCACATAGTTCTCTAAAAATAAAATGAACAACCAAAAGAAACCAATGCTTTGAAAATGATGTGATCTCTAAACAGAAGGAGCTCAGTGACGTGGCCCAAGGAGACACTTTTCCATTCTCATGCAATGACTGATAATCCATACCATGGCCTAGACTACAAAAGCCACTACAGGAACAGATACATTTTGCTTCACACAGAAACACAGAACTAGCATCCAGATAGACAAAAGCTTCCTCAAAGAGGTGATTATGAAAGCAACGCCTTTTGGTATTGCCCAGACATCTGGACGTACTGCAGCCCCCAGAGAAACACTTTTAATAGAATCAAAGAAGCTGGAAAAGACCTCTGAAGTCACCAGGTTCAATCCCTACCCATCCCATGATGCCAGCTGTGTCCCTCAGTGTCACATCCCCACAGTTCTCAAACATCTCCAGGGACAGTGACTCCCCAGCCTCCCTGGGCAGCCTGTGTCAATGCATCATCACTCTTTCAACAGTTAAGAAACTGTTCTTAATTTCCAATCTGAACATCCCTTGGCAATAATACGTAGCAGAGAACTTTTGCCTGCAGAATTCCCATTGCACTGACACTCCTTCCCCTTTCACAGCATATCAGTTCACAAAGTATGATGCAGCATCATTGAAAATGTCTATGTATTTATTAGAGGTTACAGCATAAAAATATGCAGGCACCTTGAAATGTATTTCAGACTGCGACAGCAGGCAGAGTGACTGAATGCATGTCAGGGGTTTATGATGAACTCTGAAGCATCTTCATTTCATAGGAAATATCCTTTTATATAGGCATCTTTTATTGCTTGATTTATTCTTTCTATCTGTAACTAACCTCTAGACTCAAAGATTTAGCCTCCTGGTGTGATGTTGCTTGAATGCATGAATCTGAAGCTCTGCAAAACACTCTGACAAAGTCATTGTTTGGTCCTCTCCCACTGTTCAGAACAGTGCCAACAGAGAGAGATCGAACTGAACTAAGAACCCATTAAATTGAGATATTTAGTGGGAGTGTAGGTGCATCACTACTTCGTGACCTACATGGATACTTAAAGGAAAAGTATTGCTTGCAGGATGCAGTCCTAACACCAAACCCGCACAGGTGGTCCCACATTACCAAAGTTTCTGTACTTTTAAAAACAATTAGGGAATAAAGCCAATGCTTGCATTATGGTATATACCCAACAGTTTGGATCTGGGGAGCAGGGAAAACACAGTGCTGGAACCTGCACAGCACACTCGGGACTGGCTTTCTCATTCTGCTCCCCACACAGTTCCTCCTGACCCACAGGAACAAGAATTGATCATCTGGTAGGGAGCATTTGGAGGGCTTAGGCAGGCAGCTTAGCTCTGGTACCCACATCTCTAGTTATTTAGAGGTATATAAACCAGACAAAAGCACAGGTGATCCTTCCGGAAGCACTCGGGTTTCCAAAAGGAAATTCTTCAGGTTTACATAAAAGCTGCCATCTTTTCAAGAGAGATCCTCAGCTGATTCAAGTATGATAGACTGCTTTCTTAAGACGACCTTTATTTGCAACATGAATTTATTACAAACCATCGCACATGCACACATTTTTCACTCAATCACATCTCGTGGATCATAAGAGAATTTCATTTCATGAACCTTAGGAAGCAATTACAATCTTTAACCTCTGGCACTGCATGAGAAGATACTGCGCGTTTTCTATCAAAATGAACGGTTCTAATAACCTTCCATTAATATCGATTAAATTTAAGACACCAAGCTCTCAAAAAAAAAAAAGTGTCATTTTACTTTACTTCTATCTTTTAAAATGTTAGTACTCAAGGAAGTGGACAGGACACGACATTGTTATCACTGTCACACAGTTCAGCACTAGCAGCATGAACTCTGTCTTGCTTTCTACCCTTATTAAATATAAGGAGATTTTCTCTGAGTTCACTGGCAGGGAACATCTCCTTACAGCAGCACATCCACTCATTATCCAGCCTTCTCAGCTGTTCTCAAATGCACGAGGAAGCCATTTTCCTCTGTTTTACAATCTCTTCTATGATCCTTGATGGTGTAAGTTCGGGGGGTTTTCGATCGATTCCCCAGTGCTGTTTTATAACATGTCCTCAGTCAGTCTCTTCCCATGCCCATCCTTAATGATGTGAAACCAGAGGAAGAGAATGTGTTTTAGTATTGTGAAATGCAAGAGAGATCCCATGAACCAAGGTCAATTCAACATGACAGAATTGCAGCTGAGATGCAGAAGTTTCAGCTGGTGAAATAGCTGCTGGGTCCATGCAGCCTGACCCCCATTTGTGTCAGTTGAACCCAGGGGAAAAAAAGCTCCTCTCTTTCCACAGCCACTGCCCACGCTCTGAGAAATGTGTTCCTCCCTACTGGAGAACTGAGCTGTGTTTCTGAAAGTGTTTTTCAGGCTCTCTCAGAGACACTCACCTGCTTTTTGGCTCTTATTGGTCATAATCACATTTCTGCTCCTCATTTAATGCACACACCCAAAGCAACACACAGCACTGTGGAACACACTGTTTATAATTTTGACTTTTTCTATCCAAAGACACCAAGTCCTTGTGCAGCTGGAGTGAGACACTGCACTATTTTACTTGCCAGCAAAGCCATATTCATATATTGTTTTATATATTTAGAGCAGCCACATCAGCTGATGGAATAAATAGCGACTGCCATTTTGCCTTCTATCTTTTACACAATGCTTTCAAATACTTGGCATCTAAGAACTGTTGCTTTTTCTCAGCTGCTCACACCGATCCCAACCGAGCTGGGAACTGTCAGCTTCAGAAGCGTCAGCAGAATCTGGGAATCATACAGCCTGAGAGCTTGCTCAAGATGGGCCAACTGGCCACCAAGACTAGCTTTGTAAAGGATTCTGTTTTCTGAGCTGAATCTGCACACATTTCCAATTCCAGCCCATGGGAGTTGCCATGGTTTGCGTAAGTAGCAAAACAGTGGCCTTCAGTGCAACACACCTTATGAATTGCAACGATGATATGGCAGTGACTTCTGACAGCACCCTGCAGAAAGCAAACCAAGCCCCCTTCTTGGTCTGGTACTGTTCTGCTGCATAAGGGACACAGGTTTGACTGTTGAGTCACATCTAGAGATGGGTTCTCATGACATCAAACACCATTTGAAAGCAAGGAGTATGTGATCTCAGCGATGTCATTTGAAAGGAAACTATTATTCAGACTGCCAGAGGTGCCACATAAGCATATGGGATAAAGCTAGACTGCAACATAAAGGATGGATTTATATAAAACATAAGGAGCAGGGCAGCAGCAGCACCACACTTACCAAGGATAAAATCAAGATGTGAAGTAACAACACAGCCACCCTTCTCGGCCTAGAGAAAACAGCTCTATTCCACATGACACAAATTTGGACTAAAGATCCTCTAGGCACAGTGAATATTTATGACTTCTCTTAATAAGATACAAAGCACTGCTTTCAAAAGCAAGAATCTCATTATGGTTAGAAATACATTTTTCTTCTCTTTAATATGGCTATACAACCACTATCAATTCCTGTCTAAAGTACAATTAATGCTTTTGTGAAAGTGTCCTTTTTAACCAGGATGGACTTGTACAGCTCAAAGCACCTCACTCACACTCCATAATAACTATGATTGCCTCGATACAGCTGAGCTCAGGCACGAGCAGTAAGCAAAAGGGAACAAAACCCTGAGGAACTTCTCACTTGTGTAGGAAAGCACCTGAACTGCCCTTCCCTATTTTGTTCAGGTTAATAAGAAATCTGTATTAAGCACTCAGGTTTGAGGTTCACAACCACAGCAGCCAAACCCTGGCTGCGATTCCCATGCTGGGCTCATGGTGCTGCAGGCACTGATATACAAAGCCTTGGCAGGGAGACTGCCCTTAAAGACGAGGACTGAGCACTGAGTGCAGTACTTATATGCAGCCTACTTTGCCCTTCACTTCAGGTTTTAGAAATGCAAGATACACAGCTGGAGGGAAAGACATAAATATTAAAGAAAGCCAGATAATATTCTACTGAAATGCAAACATGGTGTTCAGTGGATTGAATTCCTCCCATTTCTTTAAGGTAAGAACTACATTTCAAGGAAAATCTGAGATATTCAGCCATTTTGAACATGAATACATCCTAAATATCACACAATTTTCAAAGGAGTTAAACATAGGATCAGGAGCACGGGTCGGTAAGGTGCCTCCCTTTGCGTCTTCTCTACTTCTGCATTTCATGTTCACTATCCTTGGTACAAACAGCTCTTTTTCAAGCGCAAATGCTACAATAAACCAACAGTTACTGAGACTCTCACAAAGCATTACCAATTACAGAAACACAGAATCATTGGAGTAGGAGGGGACCCTTAAAGACCACCTGATCCAACTCCCCTGCACTGAATCCAACAGCTCCACCAGCTGCTCAGAGCCCCACTAGCCTGACTTGGCTGTCTGCAGGGATGGGACATCTCTATGCACAACCTGTTCCAAATGTCTCATCTCACAGCAGACACCATCTCTCAGCTACCCCACAAGGATAGAGCTGAGAAGGCTCTGCTGCAAGGAAAGTGTTGCCCGACTTGCAGTGAAACAAATGCTGGCCTGCCAGCTCTTCTCTCTGGACAGTTGTCTAATGATTGCTTTTAGGATGCTTAGGGCTGCTGTTTGTCAATAACCTGCAGATCCCATTACAGTCAACACCACAGAAACGGTCCTTAGAGCCCACAGACCTGGTGCTCCTCCTAGGCACAAGCAATAAGTTATGCCACTCCTGAACATGGTAGCTCTGCTTAATCATTAACAAAATATAAACATCTGTGTTGTAGTGGCCAGGGGTTGTTTTTATTATTTTCTCTTCCAAAACACATCACCTCAGGGAGCAGACTGAACTACCAGACAGATACATCATGTTAGTCAGATGCCACCACATCCTTTTAATCAGGGCACCATCGATATTTTGTATTATGTGAATAACTAATTAGTTTCTCAACTTATTTCCACAGATGTCATCGCAAAAATCTATCTGAGGAATGTCATCTGCACTTGAGGGAAGGACAAGCATTGTAATTAAGTATTAAGCCATTTCACCAGTATGAATCTGCCACGAAGTGTGAAATGGCTATTATTCACATTTTAAGACCTCGCATTTATTAGCATCTATTTTCTACCCAAGGTTAGCAGCATGCTGCACAGTGTTAAAAAAAGCAAAAAACAGTTTACATTTTTGTTATTCAAATGGATGCCTGTGTCTGTCTGACTGTACACAGATTGCTAGCATCAATTGGGCTTCTCTCAGGTCCCAGAGGACTTCTGGCCTGCACACCTTTGTGAGCAGCATTGGAAGGGATGCTCTGATTATGGAACAAGTGATATTCAGCTGCTGAAATGTAATGACAACCACAGGTGCAACACACCTTGGCAGGACACTGATCCTGTGTACACAAAAGATATTCAGCCTGAGATAACAAGCAGGATTGATGATTAATACCTCCCAGAAAAAGATTTTGTTTGCATTAGGAAACACTTGCAGAATAAATGCAGACAGCAAATAATGATCCAGCCTGTACTGTTGTATGCAGGGGGCAGCAGAAAATTCCCTGGTCTAACTAGAGAAAGGCAATGAGCACACACTTGCTATTTTGCTGCTCAATTATATACATAAGGAGAGGAATCCTGTGCATCCTCCAGCCAGAAATGAGAGATTTCCACTGCTCTCTACCTTATACACCATGCCATTTGGCAGCAGTTTAATTTAGAAATCTGCCCCTTCCTGCCCTATTCTCACACTTCTACTTTCAGTTATGGGCCATGTAGCTCTGGAAGATGCTCCTGCATCCACAGACCTGCACTTACACACTGGTGCATCCAAAAAGAGCCCCATAGCTGACCACAGACTGTTCAATCACAAATTCCAGCTACTTTCTTTTGTAGTTTGAGCCTATCTCATTTTTTACTCCAGCAATTTAAACACCCTTATGCCAAACTCACCTTCCCACTAAGATGGCCTTCACTGTCCACCAGCCCTTCTTGAAAAGCATCTGCCTGTCAGTGGGCAGCTCCTGTTAGCAGCACAGTGAGCAGGGCCATGCCATGATTTATACAGCTGGGATAAGTCAGCAAAGCTCTGTCAGTGCCTCTGTCATTTGCCAGGTGTGTGCCTGATTATCTGATCCATATCTAGGCACCACCTGCTAAAAATAGGGAAGGAAAGAACACTAAGAGCTAAATCCCATATCTTGTGCTGGGAGGGAAAGAGTGATAGTCATTAAGAGCAGATATGATGTAGCAATAAGAGGGAGCAGCAAGACTCCTCTGCAACAGTTCTATTTTAACACAAGGAAAACACCTGCAATCATCTGCCTCCTTAACTCCAAGCCTTCTATCAAATGCATTGTATGAAGTGCTCAATATATCATCCATAAGAAGCCTCATGGAAAGACTCCCTTTGACCTGGGGCTGTGGTTTGTCTGCTCTAACAGACAAATGGCCAGCAGCAAGAAGGCATGTCAACAGCAGGAAAGGCCACAGCAAACAGCTGTGAAGCAATCACGAGTTCTGCTCTGAGGAAGTCACATTCAACATCAAGTGCTTCAAGAAATGTTACCTGTCATGAGAAAATCGTCAGATCACATGTGGAATCCTAGATTAGCACATCAGGAGTGACAAGAACTTCTGCCTTTCAAACAAACCTCACAAGGGCCCACTCAAACTAGCTTGAAGTTTAGAAACTAGGAACCTCTCCTCTCATTCCAGCTGTATACACAAAGGAAGGCACTGGCTTGGTGAGGACAATTCTAGAAATCCTGCCCTCTTAAATCACTATTACATTTTGTTACAAAACATGGAAAGTAAAACCCACCTCAAGGCAAAAGCATGTTGTTTTGAAGCTGGTAAAATTCTACCAGAATTATTACATTTGCACCAGTAAAACAAAGAGAAGAACAGCTACTGTAATGCTACAACATGATGGCAACTACAGCAACAATAGCAGTGGAACAGCCCTAGGCTGCAGCAACTAAGAACAAGCCCAAATGCAACAACCACGGATGCAGAAACAGAGGAAGAAAAACTGCTTACCTTCAGCAGGCCTCAAGTAGGCAGGGACCTCCAGCAAAACCCCCTTATCTCCACTGCCAGCCCTTAAATGGGGTCTGGTAAGGGATGAATCCTGGCTCCACCCCTTCCAATCACTCAGGAGCACTGCATGCACCTGAGCTCCCCTGGGCTGGCCCTGCCTTCCTACCAGGTGCTCAATCACTGCTTCAGGCCGTGATTCAGCATTTCTACTACAGCACCCTTACCAGCTAATCAATCTGAAAACAACACTACTAGTTGCAAAGCTAAATTGACCGTTTTTTCCTTGCTGCCACCTTGAAGGAATTCCCAGTGTTTGCTAAAAGCTAAACTATGTTTCAATGTGACATGCTACTCTTCATAAATGACATCCATTTCCCACCAAATACTTCCTCTTTCATACAACTGATTTTTTGTGTTTTCTCTACTTTTTGTTCCTTTGATCTTTGTGAACATAATGGTTTTTAGACAGAAACATTATTTGTGTTTGTTCTTATTGAAAATATCTCTGCTGCTTTGTGAAGCACAGCTGAGAGAAGCCTTAATTCGATAAGAATTATTATTTCACAGAAAGAGTGCTGTTGCATTAGCTAAGCACTGTATTTAAATTGCTTTTTGGTACAATGGGTCTCACTTGGACTATTTGGATAGTTCAATACTGTACACGGTAAGGTAGAATTGCACTAATAAAATCAAACTACAAGTGCATTTCATCTGTTATTGGGTACTTTCAGTGCTTCGTAATTAACTTTGGTCAAAAATTACCCCTTTAAGCCCAAGAGATTAATTCTCCCTTAACTATATTTGTGTATAACAGGAAAAACAATCATGCCTTGGTTTCCCAGCCTTGGATGAGCAGTTTAGGGCATTTTTTAACCTACAATAACTGTGGATGAATTCCAGGTCTGTGATTGCCGCTTACAAAGTGAATTTCACGCTGATTTCTTTTTATTTAACTCCAGGAACATAAACACCCTAAACTAGGGTTTCAGCAACATGCTTGCAGTGCCTGGCCTAGCAGTCTGGTTATGAGGGAGATCCCTATGCTAGGTCTGAACAAGGCAGTTTGGGTTGAGGAAGCTGCCCCAACAACAAGCCCACAGACAGGTGCTCTTGTACAGCGCCTGTTCAACATGCACCCTTCCTGCATGTAGTAGTTTAACATCCTTTTGATACTTTTTTTTTTTTTTTACATTGGACCACTCACTTTTTAGTTATGCTTCCACCTCCAATTATTTCCCTTCACTGCCACTCATCAGCTGGTCTAGCCCTTATCCCTCTCCTTGAAGAATGTCTCAATAGCAGTGAAGGCACTGATCTTGTGATTGTCAGACAGTTTTTGTTACTCTTCTTAACATATATTGCCCTCTTGAAAGGAGACAAATGAGGAAGCCTGGTGATTTCTGTCAGAGTCAAGGAGAGGCTCTCAAGTAAAGCTCTTACCAAGTTCCTTGGGCTCTATTAAAACAATCCAGTGACAAAAGACCATCTGCAGTCAACCTCTATATACAGGCAATCACAAGGATAGCAACTTGCATTACAAGGACTCAATTACTACAAATATTTAATGTCCCAAAAAAAATCTCATAATTCCTCTCTCTGAACTATTTTGGGATGATGCTCAGCAGGAATAAAATTCAATTAGTCCAAGAATTTGAAATTTTTTTTTTTTTTTTTGCTTTTCTTTTTACTGCTTTTGATTAGCTTACAACCCAATTAGCAAAAATTTAGGAGTCTAAAATTACTTTCACAGAATTATGGAATTGTTTGAGTTTGACCCTTAAAGGCCATCTGGTCGAACCGCCCTGCAATGAACAGGGACCACTACAGCTCCATCAGATGTTCAGAGCCCATCCAGCCTGATCTTGAATGTCTCCAGAATAGAGCATTTATCTATTTACCTACCTGGGCAACCTGTGCAGTGCTTCATCACTCTCACTGTAAAAAAACCTTATATCCAATCTAAATTTCCCCTTTTGCCTTGAAACCATTTCCCTCTGACCTATAACTCTGCTAAAGAATCTGTTCCTTTTCAAAAGTAAATACAGGAAAATATTCACTAATGCATATTAAGTAGTTTTTCATATATTTCTACTCTTATGTCACGACTAAAGAAAACTCTAGATCACACAAAGAAAACATGGATCACTAATAACACCCACCTCTGCATTAAACCAGGCATTTATGAGCTCTGCTGCTCCTAATACAACTGATATTGGGCTCTGTAGGATTCTTTTTTTGGGATACATGAGCCTTTCTGTTGCATGGAGGTTGCTGAAAACCTGAGAAGTCTCAGCAGCAAAGTCAGACCTGGGTCAAAGAAGTGCCAAACCAATTCTTGCAGCCCAACTACTATCTTATGAGCTTAGCATGTAAGAAAAATCTATGCACATACTGCCACCTAATTTTTCTCCATCTAAACTGCTCCAGACAGAAAGGTACATAGAGAAAAGGGCCATACAGGGCTTGCTGGTGCGCCAGGAGGACGGTTACCTTGTCTGTCCCCAGGAAGTTGACCAGCTTGTAGAGAAGCCACTAATAAATGAAGTAGGCTATACGAACTGAAGGTCATTCATCAGCTAAACAGGGACAGAAAGTCTATTGAGAATGTACGTGACATCGCTCAGAGCGTATCAGTCTTTGTGATGTCTGCACATGACTGAAGGCCTGTGGGATGGAGAAGAAAAAGAAAGGAAGAAGCAGAAATGACTGGCACAGTGGCATGCTGCCTGTGTTGAAGGGAAAATCAGTCTGTCTGTTAAACAGAGGAAGAAGAAAAAGGAGACATACAGATGGTCTGGCTCCCAGTGGTGACAGAAGCAGTTGGTCTCCTCTCCTTCTGTTTGTGACAGTTGTTGTCACCTTATTTTGAAGTCTCCTAAAGAAGAGGTGGGAGTCACTAAGCTACTGAAAAAAGCAAATGGATGAAAATGGATTGTGTAACTAATCTTAACCATTTGGTCTAGGAGCAGTGATAGAGGCTGGCGGCACTGGTGACAGCCCACAACAGCTGATGGTGCACCACTCTCCCAGAAACTGCAGCCTAAGAAGGAAAGAAAGGTTTCCACTGTTTGTTACAGAAAAAAAGGTCTTTGTGAGTCAAGCCAGCTACTGAGTACATGCTTGTACCAGCTCTGGACCCACAGTCTGCCATCTCACTTGGGCCCATTTTACCACAGCATCTTTTGAACCAGACTTAAGGATACCTTATGCACACACAATGCTACCAAAATAGGAAGGTACAAAAGGATGTCCCCCCAGAATAAGGCTCCTTCCCCTATGAAATCTGTGCTGCTCCCAAAACACACTATTTCACCTACGAATGCTCCAATAAACTTTTGTATGTGTAGGGAGAGAAGGATGGCTCTTGATTTAGGGAGGAGTAAAGGATTTGATCTCAGGAAACTTTACTTTCTCTGCAAAGCGCTACCCACATCTCTTTTCCTGTCAGGGTGGCAGAAAAAAAACCATTTACTTTTGCAAAGATAAAATTTTCAGAAGTGTATGAAATGCTTTAGAACCCTTTTGGACTTTTTTCAAAATAAATCCTACTTACTTTCCCTTAAAAAAGGCAAAAAAAAAAAATAAAAAAATCCGTTTTTTAAATGAGTTTTTTTAAGGATTTTTTTTCAAACAGTCTACTAATTTCAAAGAAAGCCAGATCTCCAGCAGCTCCTTACAAGAGCAAGTAAAATTACAAGAATTTAAAGCAGATCAAATATCAACTCCTTGCATGGATACCACCATAATTTGTTTCAATTTCATTTTGCTTAATTCTCTATGGAACAGAAGCATGCTCAATCAGATTAAGGCTACTTTGATTGACATCTGCCCCCTTTAATGTTACACCTTACATTTCTTCAGATGAAAGTTCCCTCCCACATTTAGAAAAGTCCAAAGCAAGTAAAAACTTGGACCTAAATCACTACCAGTAACAGGACCTGATTGCCTAAGTTATTTAGATGCTAATGGACATTTTAACCATGATTGTGATTTTTTTTTTCCTGCTGGAAATCTCTGCTGAGATGGGCTGTACCAACAAGCCCTTGTCATCCACATGTCATCACAACCCATGAGTGCTCTGCAGACCCTGGACCTGCCCCAGCAGCTGTGTGGCAAATTGTGCAAGGACCCCATTTCTTCTGTTCTAAAAGAATGCAAATTGAGACTGAAAAAAGCACAAGGTGGTGTTAATGTCACCAATCACAGAACAAACTTTAACCATGAACTGACTCACACCACTGCTGCACTTTTGGTCTGACAGGTGATCCTCAGAGTGCAGAATGGGACAATAAGAGTATTCCTGGAGAGAAACTGAAGGACAGTGATAGGCACAAAAGAAGGCAGCCTGGATGCTGCTCACCACTCATGGTGATCTAGGCTGGGCCATCGCTTCTCCCAGTATCAAAGCAGAGAGAGCTAACGAGAGCTTGTTTCCCATCTCACAACACAATTTGAGCTGTCCAGAGATTGCTTCACCCCTAGTATGCTCCAGGAAAGCAGTATTTGCAACCCAAGATCTAAGGACAAGATGACATGCAGATTTTTTTTCCCCCTCTTTTTCTCTCTTTTTCTAAGCAAGAAATATTAGAACACTATTAGAAACCCCCTACAGCCCTTTCGGTCAGAAGATTTCAGATTAGGCCATATCTTTCCAGAGACCAATCATCCAAACTAACACATAGAGACTTTAACATTCTTTTTAAAATACATTGCCCAGCATTAGATCAATTAGATTTTGGGAAAACTAGTTCTCCTCATACCTGCTGTCAGCAAGTGGTGACTGCAAGGTTCAGCAGTGACATGCATGCACAGCTAGAATTGGTATAGATTAGGGAGGGTTTGCATTTCTGCAAGACAGACAATGCTGGAGAGCATTATCATTGTGCTGTTACACCCTGTGACTCAGCACAGACTCCAGTACCTCCCTGCACACCCAGGAGAAAGATTTTTCTCTTTCTTTCCAAAGGCTGAGCCCAAAATAAGCAGTGTGTTACACAGGAGAAATGGTTCTCTCATCACTCACAGTTGCCTTTAGCTCTGTCATATTAGACATAAACATGGAAGATCCCTCTCTTCCATGGCATCCCCT